AAAAAATATAGATATATAGTTAGGTAGTCACCAGGTAGTGCAGACACTGCTAGTGTATTTTTTTGTATGATATTTAATAAAGCAATTTGTAGAATCATTTATAAACTAGCACATTGAGTTGCAATAATGACATTATGTGCGGAAGAAGGTCCTACAGCCCTGTCATGTAGTCCCAAATATGGAGTATGTTTTATATGGCAACCGACATTACCGATATATCTACCATCAGCAATTTGCATAAAAAAGTCAGGAGCGACTACAATGTTGTTCAACTGTCGCCTGGTAACAATTGGACCGACAAAGCATTCTATCAGACATCTGATGCCATATCTAATCCTTGAGATTATGAGAACAAATTAGAACTTACTTCGGGGTCACACTCTGTGCCATTAGTGAAAGCACTACCATTGTAGTTATTTGGGACTTCTCCAACCATGTACACCGGTTGTCCCGATGTTGCGAGGTACACAGCCATGATGGCCCATACAACAAATATAATGACTTCGAGAAAGAACGGTATGACCGGCCAGATTAGCGTGAACATCATGGTTGACACGGCCCTATGAGTAAAAAAAATTTAACATTGAAGGCATTTTACAACAATCGATTATATTGCAAAAATTGCACGACAGAACAAGCAGCCTCTCAGCTGAGATAGCTTTGCTGTTAGCAATGCACATCTCAATTAGAGAATTGAAGATATCATCAAAAAATGTACAAATTTGAAAGAGGTCCACCTGTAGTACAATATCAAATCAATCAGACTTAAATAGATATCTTAGTATTGCTTGAGTGTAAGGTAAGTATGAATAAATATGGTAAAATTGTATAATTATTCTTACCGACTGCCTTCTTTGATTAACGCAATAGCGATACGTATTCGGTTGCACAGGAATATAAGTAATAACACCATAATAAGGGTAATGACACTCAGTATTATACCTAGAAATAAATTAGACAGAATTAATGATGCAAATATCTAAGACCACAATACTGCGCTGAATTCGCACTCAATTAAACATTCTTACCACATACTAGCCATGTATATTTCACTCAATCGCATTG